CCTTTAACCATTCCTCATGCAGAAGTAGATAAAAGCATTTAACATATATGAAAATAAAATCAAAGCATACCAAACTAAGTGTAATTATAAACAAAGCCACACTATATAGGGCACTGTGTCCTCAATCCTCTTGCCTTGTTTTTTCCCCTAAACTCTATGTCCAGTATCAGAAGCCAAAGGCTATGTTTCTAGTTTAAAATGGAAGGCATCAAGGATAAAGAAGCTAATAATCCCAGTACAAAAAGGAATAAATAATCAGATAAGATTATTACAAAAAGGTATGGCAAAACTCCAGGCATCAACTGTCCACAAGAAGACTTCATTTATGCAATCAAATCAAGGTACCCCTAAAATTTTTGGAACTTGCACATAATTTAGAGGCCCAGACAGCAAAAGTAGGATTTCATGCTCTAAACAAAAAACATGCTAATTTTCATCCTTCATTGAGACAAACTTGATATCCTAATTCTACCCAAATCTCATCGAAGGTTAATGTTTCAGAAACCAAATGGATAATAAACCGTAATAAAATTTTAAAAGAATATCACAGCAATAATTTTGTAATGTGCAATCAAGCCATATGAATCATCTCCTTGATGCCATAAACACAACAAAGTACCAGCCTTCAGCCACTGACTAGTTTCAAAAGCTGATATATCTCACCTTCACATATTCATTGCCCGTGATAACGAAGTGGAAGGAATGTTGCCCCAATACTGTTGTCATCTTCCAGCAAGGAATAAAATGGACTGAATTCATATCTTCAAGACTGATCTAGCCTCATACAAGTAATTTGACTCAAGGTAAAAATCCGGAAAACTCAGCATTCTAGCTTGGCTTCCTAAAAAGTCTAATCAACATCTACGATGTGGTATTGGCATCTCTCAAGAGCAAAGCTGATCAATGCAACTAAAACAAGGATAATTACTCCCTCTAACAATTCAGCCAACAACCCAATTTCAAGTGGCATAAATAGACAAGTATCTCGTTCAAAAACAGCATGCAAATGAAGCATGTACAATCACAGTACCAATGAAAATAAAGAGACAAGTATCTCGTTCAAAAACAGCATGCAAATGAAGCATGTACAATCACAGTACCAACCAATGAAGCCTGCTAAAGCCTTCTTAGAGGGTAGAACTATCACCCCAGCACAAATTAAGCAACTCCACTTATGGCTCAGCATAAGGCTACTAAACTCCTATGGTTTTTAGGTTGAATAATTTCACATTAGACACTACAGTTTCAAAATGATCCTGTACAAGGCTCCAGAGCAAAGCCCAGTCCATTCTTTTTTTTTTTTTTTTTTTGCCTGAACCCCGGGCCAGCAACGCAGCCCAGTCCATTCCCCACCTGACTCTACCAATGATTTTCTTGAATCCTCTTCCATATTCTGCCACGCCTCTTTGTTGAAAATTGCTAGGGCACAGATAAATGTCATCCCAAGATCAGCTCAATGCTAACAAGAAAAGCAGCCATTAACTATATCCAAGTCAATTTTGCTTGGAAATTTAGCTGGTATTGAACCCAACAGCCTGATATAAACTGATGCTCAAAGTACTTCCTCATCTGATCAAACCAAAGTAATTGAATCAATTTTGCCTACAGGCCAGCTTTAAGCAACATTCATTCTTCCTGCTCGAGATCCCAATTGGCATTGGAATGAGTGGGCATATAGCCCTCAATGTCTTAATTATTGGCGGATAAAAGTATTGAGAACAAAATCCCAATTTAATATATGTTGGTTTAATTATCTATTTGACTAACAATTGTATTGTCTTCAATCTTGCACTTATTGGTCTTATTACACAAAAGAAAGACCATGGTGTGATTGGCCAAATTAGCTAAGAAGTTTGATTTGGTCATACCATTGTTGGATGTAATCCCACTTAATATGAGATGTGTATGTGGATGGGGGCAAGGTGGTTAAATATGACTTCAAACTTCTCTCCTAAATTGGAGGAATGGTTACATAATGAGCAAGTAAAATAACCACCCACTACCTAACTCTTTGGAAGTCAATTTCTACAGTCCACCTGATAGAGTGAGTGAAATAACCACTCACTATCTGATTTGATGGGATTAGTTTCTAACATATGCTTGAGTCGCCCAAGTGGAGGAGAACCCTATTGCAAACCAAGTACTAATTTTCTGAATATCTCTCTGTTGTCTTCCAATTTCCCGGAACGTCTATTTTTAAGATATCAGTCCAAGACACAAAACGCTAATGTGGTCCAGTCAATAAGAGAAGGAGGAGCTTGGCTACAAAATCAACATTTGGTCCTGAAAATGTATTCAATTTCCCTCCAAGGTGTCACATTTCTGAAGTTTAAAGAGAGTCAATACAAGCAAGGGAAGATTAGTCCATTCTCATTCGGCCATCACTGACACATAATGTAGTGCTTTTCCCACCAGCCAGCTACACCGGAAGATCCCTAGTCAATGACAAATCTTCCAGCAGCCTACACAATTCCCACCAGACTTGTAACCATCTGTGACACGATCATAGTAAAATAACTGACAGCACTGCCCTCGGGTACCCCCAGAGCCATACTTTTGGAGCCAGCTGGCTGCCATGATATGCCCACATGCAAAAGTTTGTTCCAACACAAATCTAGATGAGAATAATGACTAATTATTTGCCCACTAAAAAAAGAGAATAATGACTAATTAGGGGACAAAAAAAACTGAAGGCTGCAGTCTTACAACTAATGATTTGAGGGGTCATATCTAAACTTCTTGAATGATGAGACCATCAATGATAACAAGGTTGACAATAGCTAACAAATAGAACACTAGATTCTCCAGAGGCAACTCTATCAATGATCCAACTAATTAGGATTTAAGAAAACGAAGGCCATTGCAAATTGAAGATTAAGTACAAACTTTTAAACAAATAATTTAGGCAGGCAAGCATAATGTTTCAATATTAAGTCTCCCCTTCGGCTCATACTAATTGCAAACAAGAAGCCCTCTGCAGTTTTTGTCCCAAAAGACAACAATGGCATCTTCTGAAGACAACCATTGAAACAAGTTGTAGAACTAGGTATACAGTTGAGAGCCCCACTTCCAGTTATCAATAGATACGCAACAAGCAAAAACTCTTCTGCTGCTCTCAATATCTGTGTCTATCATTACCTTTACAACCTCCACTCAATACTAACTATTCTAGCCATATGCGTTCTTTGTCTACAATACATTTTTATTAAATGTCGATTCTTAATTTATTTTTTCAGCCTACTGAAAACACAGAACGTCTTGTAAAAGAAAAAGAGGGGCGAGTCAGTGTGCTAATTCTGAATTTAAGAGATTAACCCGTGATCTATATCAATAACTGTAAGTGGCTACCGCTCAAATTTTTTCTAAAAAGAAAGGCACAAAAAAAAAACAATAGAAAAAGAAAAAAGCCAAAGATAATTATTCAAAATATAAAATTTTAAACAATTCTAAATTCAGATTCTCTATCACGTTACACAATCAGAGTGGTGCCAAATAAGAATTGTTAAAAGATAATACAAAAAGCAGCCATTGCCCAGTACGTTACATATCTATTAAAAAAGGACAGTAAATGCTAAATTGCTAATAGAATAATGACAGATCTAGTCACTAATATGTATACGTAATATAAACACAGTGAATTCATGTATCAAATAAATAAGAATGTGCAACAAGTCCAAACACAAACTCTCAAAAGAAATTGACAAAAAAAAACCAGAACCAGCATTAATAATTAGTATGGTAAAAAGCAGCATACCAAATCTATTACATGATTGAGACAAGTGGTCTCTCAGAATTTGCTAAAATCTTATCTAAATCACAATCTAATTGGTTATCCATTTAAATAAAGACACCGGCCAGTGCTGTTTGTCAGTGAAAGGAAAGCCAAGGTAATATTCATGCAATTCAAAAAACATATAACAAGTTCATGCTGAACCATCCAACTCAAAACTAATTTGAGATGAATAGAGGTTTACAAGGTTCATATACCAGTCATGTTGACAAGGTTTATACTAGTTTTGTTCAATAGTCCAATTCAAAACCAGATGGTAATGAATAGAGGCCCATAAGGCTCATATACTAATTTGGGAGGTTCTATTATACTAACGGGAGACAAATGGGTGATACATAACAAAGTCCCAAAAAGCAACCTCCACTCGCAGGTGGAGAGGTAGACAGAACAACAAAGAGACAAAAGGAGAGATGAAACTAAGTGCATCATGATACAAACAAAGAGAAATACCAGATAATGCCAGCAAATGAAGGCATACACAATCAGTGAGATAAAAATAGACATATTTTCCCAAAAACTTCAAACTCCAACTTTGATACCACATTGAAGAACCCAACTAATAACCAATTAAATGAGTGAACAGGTTCACAACACTTACACTAATTTTGGAGGCTTTATTACACAGTCCTGGAACAATCTCTTAACATTTGAAAAAATGAGAAGTCTATGGTGCGGAAAAGTTTTTGTTAAGTACCATACCTCCATTACAAGTTCTGTGGTTTATTTTTGCAGCTTTTAAGTGTCATTTATAAAACTTGAGGATTATTTACAGCATGTCAGGATCATTTACAACTTTTGGCGTAACTTGTGATCAATCCTAAAATTTTGAGTATCGATCCTAAAGTTCTAAATGACTCACAAACATTATAACTTAAACCATAAAAGTTGTAAATTTTTCGTCCTAAACAAACCAAAAAACTTATATCTCAACCGAGAAAACTTGTAAATTTTGGCGGTACGATATCATAAAGTTTTGTTCAATACCATAGTCTTCTCCTTGAAAAAAATCTACAAAATCTATCGTTGCAAAGCAATACAATGAAAAAGCAATTCAAATTAGCAAAGGCAATTTTCGTTAGTGACTTTACTCAAAAAGGGTGGGGGCAGTAAATTGGAAACTTGACGAAAGATAAAACGAAACATGAACTTCATTCATGGTCATCAATACATGGTAACTTGAGAATTTATGAGCATAGGAATGGAGTTGTTACAGTATGTTTGGCAGCTTGGAGGAGACCAGAGTTGTCGGATAGACTAGAGCGAGTGGTCATGAGGAGAGAAGACATCCTTCTTCTTCTTCTTCTTGTCATTGTTGTCAAACAACCCTTCTGGCGAGTCACCGGAAAATGCAGGTTCAGGTAGGAATGCGAGAACGAAGGAATTACCATGGATGCCATGCTCTCCTCCTTCTCTCTCTCTCTCACAGACACACTCGTGAGCCAATATTTAGTCTATCCTATCATACGAGCATGGCGTCCCTACTCATTACGGGTCGGTCCCCGAGTGACCGTCAATTCACTTTAGAAAACTTTTATATATACTTAATATATTAAAAATTTGGTGTAAATATTTCGTTCCCTTGTAACTCATGTGTTTGTACATTTTTTTTATATTTTTGTTTTTATTAGGATAGTTTTCATAAAATCTTGATGCTTGGGCCAAATATTAAAAGTTTCATTGAACTAAATGTATTACAATACATACTATTATCTTTGAGATTGATCTTCATTAGTTTATTGCAATTTTCTTTGATATTGAGTTGTTCATAGATTGTACTACCATGGCTGAATAATACATTTGATTTCATACATCTTGGTCTCTGATAAACAAGTTTGAATTTCTCACCATCTTCATAGTCATTTTTCTCACTCTCAAAGGTGAAGCCTGATTGATGATATAGTGCAACTGATAAGCACATGGTCTTTTTACCTGCATAATTGGGGGTAAACTCCATATTATGGTCTAACAATTTGAGGATCCAGGTCATTGGAGCTCAGTAAAAAGTATTTTGAGATACAAATCAATTAAATCACCAAAATAATAAGCTAGTCATACAAATACACTAAAGTTCGTAAGCCCTTTAGTGGTCTTAATACTTAAACCAACCATAACCAATTATTTTTTTCCCTCAAAATCCATCAAAAAAAATAAAATCCCTATCTTTCCAAGATCCCTATAGAAAGTACTCCCTCCGTTCCTAAATATCTGTCATTTTACGCAATTTTTTTTGTTCCACAATATCTGTCGTTTAATAAAATCAAAGCATAATTAATATTTTTTCTTCCAAATTTACCTTTATCTATGTTTTTCAATAAGTGTTTAATAGATTAAGTGTAGGTTAAGTGTCTTTCATATTCTTTTCCTTCCCAATACATTTTGAATAAGAGTATTTTAGTCTTATACAATTATTTTTTACTCATATTAGAGCTATTTAATAACTTCCTTAATCCCTGTGCAAAAACCTTAAACAACAAATATTTAGGAACGGGGGGAGTACTAATTAGAACCACTAAGCACAATACCCTAAAACTAAAATTTATAAACAACAAAAGGGAACCTTGAATGAGTTTTTAATAATGAGTGAAGATCATCTTCATTAGTGTCATGAAAAAGTATTTAAGATTGTTCTATAAGGCATTCTTGATTAAATAAACAATGTCCTTTTGTGATTGATATTTCATCTATGTGCATTCTCAAATATAGGTTTCCCTCTTTCTATGTAAAAGGAAATATTAGTAGACAATTAAAACTGGTCTAAAAATAGGATGTCAAACCTAGGATAACATATCGTTTAGCACTCAAAGGATATCCTGACTCATCGATTTAAGTGTTCATGGACCCTTTGCTTTCGTTTTTCTTTTGAATCTTTTCATAAGATAAATCAATCACAGTAGTGTACTGGCTTGTGGCACCCTAGACCTGTTTGCAGCACACATCTACCACATTATCTGCCACCAAAAATGATACCGAGAATAAGGTGGCATAATAAACAATTCCACCATAAGATTGGTTTATTCATTTTTGCGCCTCCCTCTCTTCTTATCATCATGTTTAAGAATAATTGGTGCATCTTTTATGACAAAAGCAATAACACATCTCTCTTGACGTCTCTACCCCAAAAATGTGTTAATGCATTACATGCATAAGTTTCTTTCTTTTTGTGATGTTGTTAAGGAATGCGCATAATTAAAGGAATTAGGTTTCAAAAAAATAAAAAAGTTAGACCATAAGAAAGCGATAAAATTGATCAACTCCCTAAAATGTCATATTTATATTGAAAATTGAACTACGAAAAATTCTAATTACATAACTGAATCTTACATGTACCTCGGCAACATTGCGATTGAGATTCTCTGTCGAATAATGAAGCATTCTCTTTTAACAATCTCTCTGGGAACACATAAGTACCACAACTTAAATGTGATCCACTTTTTCCGTTTGAATGTTATCTTCTCTTTTTCACATAAACAATGGAGGAAACTCATAAGCTAACCATCAAATAGAAGCCAATAGAAATCACAAAATTCGTTCAATAAAGCTTATGAAATAAAATTAAGACAAAAGTCACCACTTTAACAAACGCCGTTCGTGAAATTGAAATTAAAACAAAAATTGTTGTGTAAAAGGTGATAAACATGTACTTAAACAATAGAGCTTCAGACAGGTCAATCTATTTAATTAGTTAGCACTCGGGTTATCTAGAACACTGCCTCATGGGTGCCTCCTCTTCAATCTCTTCTTCCACTAACAATTTTAGGGAAAAAATGTAAAACCAAATTGAAAATCAGAGCATGTACATTTTGTGTAGCTGAGTTACCTGAGAAAAAAAGGATTCACATGAGCTCTCACAAGTCAGGTAAGGTTCTTCTTTCTCCTTTGTCTTCCAAAATCAAGATTTTTATTCCTTGAATTCATGCAATTAGTCTAACGCTTTGTGTATTGTGTTTGGGCATTTAAAATTATACCATGAGGCAATGAACAATGTTATTTGTGTATAGCATACCCACATTGAATTCTAATCTTATTTGAATGCAAGAGAGATGAGGAGATCAAGAGTCATTTACGTTTCTTTTGCTATGGAATAATGTTTGTATCAATCCTAGAATTTGTAGTGTCATCAGTTTTAATATTTATTGGTTGTATTCAATTCTAGGATGTGGAGTGTCTCCTTTATAGTTAATGTGAAACACAAGACAGAGGAGTTATAGATTATTTAGCTGTAATTTGATAACTCATTTATTTTAAAGTATATAATTGTCCTAATTGAATTGTTTTAGGGTAGAAATGGAAAACAAAATTTTTTCAAGTTTGTTCAAATTTTATAGTAGTATAAATATACTAGTTATTCCTCGTGCCTTCAAGCACGTAGTAATAAAAAAAATGTCAATAATAAATATATTTTATATTTATGTCCAAAATTAAATCATAAATATAGAGGAGAGAGAAATAATTTAAGCACTAATTGTAGTGGAGTGAGTAGTGATAGTGGTAAATAGTGGGAGATGATGATGGTTGAAGTGGTGGTGACGACGATGGTGGTGGTGGCATCCGTGGGTGGCAACGGTGATAGTAGTGGTAGCGATGGATTTTGGGTGACGATTGTGGTAATGGAAGTTATGGGTGACGGCGGTGGTGATGGTGGGTGTGGGTGTGAGTGTAGGTGGTGGTGGACGACAGTGATGATAGTTGACAATGATGGTGGTGAGGCGACAATAGTGGTTGTGGGCGGTGACGATGGTGATGGTGGGCGACGATGGCTGCTTCTAAGTGACACTGTGATGGGTGGTGGCGAATGGCGACGGCGGTGGTGGTGAAGGTGGGGGTGGGTGATATTGGGTGGCTACAAGGGTGGGCGATGATAAGTGGTAGTGGATTGTGGTAATAGGTAACAGTAGGCAACAATGATGGTGGTGGGTGTTGATGGTGGGCGACGGTGGTAGCAGTATGATAATGGTAATGGTAACAAATATAAAAAAAAGATGACGACGGGGTTGGGTGGTAACGGGGGAAGACGGTGGTAGCAATCGGTGGTGGATGGCAATGGTGGTGGCGGCCGCAGTGGGGGTAGAGGTGGGAGTAGGATGGGGTGGGGGTAAAGGTGGGGGTAGTAGTGGTGGCAGTAGCGACAGTGGTGGTGACGACGACGGTGTCAATGGTAGGGTGGTGGTGATGGGGATGGTGAGGATGGTGGTGGTTGTAGGGGTGATGGTGGGACATTGGCGGTAGTGGTAGGGTGTGGCAACAATGATAATGGTGGTGGTGGTGATGATAGGGGTGGGTAGTGGGGGACGGTGGTAATGGTGGTAGGGTTGTGGCGACGGTGGTGATGGTGGGGCGATGGTGTGTGGTTGGGTGGCGATAATAGTGGTAGCGACAACAGTGGTGATGAGGTGGTAGGGGTGAGGGTGATGGTGGTGGTTACGTTGGTGGTAGTGGCACGGTGGGGTGGGGGTGGGGGTGGGGGTGGTGGTGGTAGGGGTGTGGCGGTTCCAAACACTATTTTTTAAAAAAAATATTTATGAGAAATAAATTTTAAAAATATTTTTAAAAAGTCACTCTAAACACACCCTTAGGACTCTATTTTTCCTATTAAATTTAAGGTGTTAATATTAGTCGTCGGATTAATTTTAAAATAAAATTTAAAGAGATCTCAACTGCGAATAGTAAAAGTCATTTTGTTTATCTTTTGAGATTTGAATTGTATTGTACTTTATTATATATATATATATATATATTAAACCACTTATTACCCAAGGCAGAAATGCTGCTGCCTTATTAGTTCTCAGAGATGCAAGGTTTCTTGATTGGGAACCTGGTGTCTTGGGAATCATGGAAACAGGACTCCACCGAGGTCCAGTTTACTTTAATTGTTTTCCTGACTTTACCTTAGATCTACACTGTCCTAACACACACATGGCTTTGACTCTTGGTATCCGTCTCACAGGCGATATTACCAGATTAGTCAAAAACACTAGTTCAATAGTACTTATCTATAGGATTTACTATAAGTGCATTCGTACCAATTTTAATGTACAATGTCTTGATCCAAGTCCTAAAGGTAGTACTATGTTAATCCAAGCTAGTTCTGAACAAACTAACATCCAGATTCCAAAATAGATACTTTGGAAAGATGTTACTTTGCCTGAATCTTGGATTATGCAAAATGAAAATTATAATAAAGAAGCTGAATATGTGTCAACTACAACTGATCTGGAAACTATTCAACAACTCCCAGATGGATCAGTTAAAATATCTTTTGACTCTGCAAGGTCCAATAGATCCAACAGATTCAATGACCAATCAGCACAGATCTTGGAAGGAAGAAGATTTGATTTTTCTTCTGTTTTCCATAGAGACAGAGAAATTGCTAAAGAACTTGACCATAGGTTAAAAGGAATAGCAAGCTCCTCTGAACCTATTGTTAGACCAAT